CCTACGCATGGTCTGCTTTGCAAGAATTTCAGCTTGACAGTTCGCCACTTACAATACCTTTTCAACGAATGTCTTTTGATGAGGCTATGCGCCGGTTCGGTACTGACAAACCGGATACTAGATTTGGTCTCGAACTTTGGGACGCTGAGAACAACGGAACCTGTCCCCACATGGTTTGTCTCACTGTGCCCTCACTTTACGTGAGTCCCAGTAGTATTCATTCCTATTTTTCCCATTCTTTCGTCTAATTATTATCTCGCCTTTGTACGTAGTGGAACGTTTTTAGTCTATTTTTGGTCATGAAGTATTTAATTCGCCAAATCGCGGACCGCATAGCTACTCTTTGGTTCGCATTTTGGCTATCTGTACTAGGTCTTCTGATTGGAACCATGGGATGACGTCTTAAACTTTGCTGCTGCCGAGCTCTCCGCTGTTGTCTTTTGGTTTTGGGTTTTGCCCAAATGCTAAGCCGGACTATAGGTCTGGGCTCATGCTGTGGTGTATGCTGAAACCGACCAGTTCGAACGCTGATTGATTGGCCGGCTCTTGTTGAGCTAACGGGTCGTCGAAACTGACGTCCCACATGACTGTTTACTCCAAAATTCGTTTTCAAATATGTGGCAGACGTATTTGTCTTTATAGTACCCTATGACTGCAAAGACTGGCCTCACTATATCCACGTAGCTGTTCTTAAAAATTCCCCGGGGAATCACCACCCGTCATCGATGGCATATTTTCTACTCTCGCAAATTTAATGTCAGTTTGGACGCACGACCAGAAGTTTATTTTCCCGAGGAACTGGCTACTTCATCTATCTCTGCTCTTTTATCTAAAGGACAGACAAATTTTTAAATAGTGCTTCGTGTGCCGCACTCAGGAGAGCGCCGTTATCACATCCGCCAGATTCAAGGAAGATTCGATATTTGGGTGTAGGCATCAAAAGTTAAAGTCGCGTTCGCCAGCGACGCCTACAGATTATTTCTAAACCCAGGCGACTTTCGTAAACCCTTGCAATTGGTATTCTGGTTGAAAATTTGGCTAACAAACTGTCTTGGACGCCGGTCAAACAGACTTTGCACTGAGTCACATTTAAATTAATATTTTCCTACTGATAGGTCACAAACGGACTCAGACGTGAAGAGATTGTCAGCCGTCATTTGAGCTGATGACGTCATTGTGGAGGGAAGTGTGGTAATCGAAATTGTTTGTAGCACGGGTCCCGGTGATCTTGGATATTCTTGACTAGCATGCTTACCGGAGAACTATGGTTGAGGGCAT